ATCCCATTTTTAATTGGATTATTTGGTATTTTGATGTCTAGTTTCTTGAGTTCTTTATATACTTTGGAGATCAGCCCTCTGTTACATGTGGGATTGGTGAAGATCTTTCCTATTCTGTAGGCTGCTGTTTTGTCTTACTGACCATGTCCTCTGCCTTACAGAAGCTTTCAAGCTTCAGGAAGTCCAATTGATCTATTAATTTTCAATCTTCGTGTCTGTGCTACTGGTGTTACATTCAGGAAGTAGTCTCCTGTGCCAATACATTAAAGGCTACTGCCCACTTTCTCTTCAATAAGGTTCATAGACTTTTTTTCTCTATATCTACATCCAGTATAAAAATTTAATGTCTAAGGGTGAATAGAATAATGTGGAACACAACCTTAGACAACCAGAAAAAATTGTAAGCCAGTAAGATTTGGGGTTATTTGCCACTGAGTTTAAAGTAGGATAAATAAATAGTGTCATTGATTTAGAACAGTGAGGAAACATAGCTAAACTCTTGATTTGAAAATTGTAAATTAATTAATAGGGAAATTATAAAAGAATTGAGAATACTAGCATGCTTGTAGTATATCTGACAAATGAAAAATTTCTAAATAAACAAGAGTAATTTCTACTTTATCTAGTTTTGCCGTAGTTTCAGTCACCTAGATTCAACCACAGTTTGAAAACGTTGAATAGAAAGTTCTAGAAGTAAGAATTTTATCCATTCTAAATTGTTTGTTGTTCTGAGTGTATCCCACTCTTCCTTGACTGGGACATAGGTCATTCCTTCCTACAGTGGATCCACACTGTATCTGCTATCCAACCCTTAGTTACACCATAGGCATCTAAGCTCTTTGATTATTTGTCACTGTGTTATACTCCTTGTGTTCAGGAAACATCTGTTTCAGCTAATAATGGCCCCAAGGTATAAAGGCAATGATACAAAGGAGACATCATATGGGAATCATGAGAGAACCAGCTAACTCTAGGACTATGTTGCTGTGAGGTGTCCTTTTATACACTGTGGATGTATGTTGCTCTCATTGTTAATAATAAAGCTGATTGGCTGGTAGTCAGGCAGGAAGTATGGGTGAGACAAGCAAACTAAGGAAAGGAAGAGAGCAACCAAGTCAGAAAAATGCCAACCAGATGCCAAGGAAGCAAGATGCATAGACAGTGAGGTAGCAAGCCACAAACCATGTGGCATATCATAGATAAGAAATATGGGTTAATTTAAATGTAATAGCTAACTAGTAATAAGTCTGAGCCATTGACCAAGTATTTATAATTCATATAAGCCTCTGAGTGATTATTTGAAAATGACTGTGGGATGGGGCAGGACAGAGCAAAGCCTCTGTTGACACTATGTGGCAACAATGCAGGTTTTCTAGAAAAAGGCAGTCAGAATAATACTTAATACTATCTGCTACTAACAAGTATGCATCAGAGGTCTTGGAATGTATTTTCCATGAATCAGGGGGATCCATTTGTAATTTTCAGTTGTTATAGAGGCAAATTTTGACATTTGGGGCTATATGAAAGTCTGAGATAAAATAACCAACACATACAAATATTCAAAAAAAATACTCTGTAATGCAAATAAACAACTAACTTATAACCATAACATGAGTCATCTGTTTTAATTCAAGTAACAAGGAAAAAATGAAAATTGGTCTCAATAAACTAATAACTGATAGAAAGACAAATAAAAATGGTCAGAGAACATCTATAGGCAGGTTCAACACACTAACATTGAAAGAGCAAATTAACACAAAATAACATTTGTTAGTGTTCCTACAGATTAAAATATTTCTCTTGTGTGCCACTGGATTTGGTAAAGAGAGGATTGTCTCTTAACTCCAAAATTCTCTCCAGCTCCATAGTTTTCCTTTCCCCTCCATTGGTGGATATTGTTCAATTTTACAATTTCACTGGATGGTCATCCTGAATGAGTTAGTATGTGTGACTCAGAAAGGCATTATACTGTAGATCACCCATGGGCATGAGGTACAAACAGTCTTGGTGCTATAAGGAAGGCCAGTGGCCCTTGAGGTACATCTGGCTCCCTCGGGCACATTTAGTTACAAGCATGGGAGGAGCATACCCAACATCTCTTAAACGGTAAGAGATTCTGGAGAGCATAGGATGGACACCCTCGCTTCTCACTCCAAATATCAATACCTCCATTGTTAAAAGACTCTTGTCTAGGAAGGGCAACTCAGGAGAGCAGACAGAGCCGAGGCAGGGAAGAGTGCATGTCTCCAGTCTTCAGGTAACACTACAGGCTTAGTCAGCAAAGGAAGCTCACGTGTGCTCAGGTGTGACTTCACTAATACCCTCTTATAAATTTTATACACTTCAGGGGATAAAGCAGAGGGAAATGAGGGAAGCAATGCAAAAGTCGTTCCGCTTGATCTGCATTGCTTCAGACTTAGTCTGTTTAATTTTATGCCCTGTAATTATTTAAAAGGTTTCCATTTTACTCAAGACTATTTACTGCATTCTAGAAGTCTGTTCCCCATAAAATAAAACCATGTGTATGTAATGTTTTGAAGGTCCAATTTGATGGTTTTTAAAGTGAGTTTTACAAAATGCTTAGTAAGTACTCAGTTGCAGCCAGAGGAGTGAGGCAAGAGGAAAAAACACTGAAAAAGGAATAAGACAAATTTTTAGTGAAACCTCTGACATGGAGTGTTAAGATATATTCTGGAAAATTATTTCCACCCGGAAGGAAGACCTGAGAATGACCAGATCCAAAAAATACTGATCAGGAAGGTCTAAAGTCCTGTAGGCTACCTTTCAGGGTTAGGCTCAATTTGGCTAATGGAAAAGAAAACAATGTATCTTCATTGTCAAACATCCTCACAGAATCTACCATACATGAATGATTTGTTCATGAGAATATGCTCTCAGGGAAACATTCGTATTTATTTTTAATGATTTGACTTGAGCTGTCAATAAACACAACGTCTAGATTTCAAAAGGATGTTTCTGGGCTGTACAGGGACTCTCCCAAGACTTCCATTCCCAATTATCTAGTGTACTGGGAATACCTTCTAAAAGGCCTCTTGGATTTACCAGAGTAAGCTTGTACTTTGACACCAACAAATTTCAAAGCCTGGGCTAATCTGGCAGATACTCTAAGCAAATGCATCTCAGTAATCCAGTGGGACCGTTTGAAACATCTTCAGTAACTGGAGAAAGGAGGAAGCATCCATCTCCTTTAGTCTAGGCAGCTACAAATGTGTGGGCTGTTAGCTCAGCCGAGCAGAGCATTGTGTTAATAGAAACAAGGCTGTAAGTCTGATTCCTGTGTGGCCAACTTAACTCTCTGCTGTAGTGTGGTTGCATTCAACATGAGTCAAATTCCTTGGGCTCAAGGGATATAGCTGATGTCGTAGATGAGACTAAATCAAAATGGGACCAACAAAATTCTATCTTTTTCAAGTGATATAGGAAAGTTGTATGCACAGAATTCACAAAAAATCATTTTACATGGTATTTTCTAGGTGACTCCTACAGATACTCATTTTAAAGGGAAAAGCACTAGTTGCTGAAGAGGACACTTGAAAAGTTACAACTGAAAGAAAATCAAATACCTACCTATGTGCCATCATAGAAATGAGTAACTTTGGGGAAAACTTAAACACATCTTTTCAGAAATCTGGAACCAACAATTTCATGTGGAACAGGCTTCTTTTGTAAACTATTACTTAAGTAATCAGTAGAAAATACTGTGTATGTGTGTGTGTGTGTGTGTGTGTGTGTGTGTGTGTGTGTGTGTGTGTGTGTGTGTGTGTTGATTCTATCTGCTTCAAGAATGCAGAAAGAAAGCCCCTCAAACATGAAGATGAGTTACTTACTGAATAAATGACCAAATGGGCTATTGAGAAAACAAACTATAACTCTATTGGCAAGTTGACTGTTGAGACCAGCTAGCCACCTACTGAACTCTTTATTTTTTGCCACAAGGCACCACCACAATCCCACAATCATTTTCATAAATATTTCTAGAAACATTTATGCCTCGTCTGGTTTGACAGATATGTGGGGATATTTGCTGTGATGTACATTTTCCTCCACATCCCCAATGAGCTAGCAATTAAAAAAGAAGTCAAAAGTAAAAACCCATCACCCCCTTTCTTCATAAACACAAGAACCCACTCTTTTTAGGAATACAAAAAGAAAGGAAACCAGGGTTTCATTTGTGCACTTCATATAACAAGTCCTGAAAATGCTCCTGTCTGTTCTCACTTCCCAGGATGAGGGTGTTTATATAATCTGGGTGAGGTTGACTTTGGGTTGGGACCTCTATTATGACTTGAATACTAGTTTTCTTAAAGGAAAGATTTTCCTCCTTTCAGCATCTTCTCAGAGAAAAGAAAAGCAAGTTCACATGAGCCTAAGGCTCATCTCTTCTCCATATGCAAACAAAACCTCTATCAGGTGTGGGTCTTTGGAATTTATCCTTGTACTTTACAATTTTAATTGGTGCCAGGTTGTGTAGATGCCAGATGATATAACATTGCCTTTCAGCAGGTTCTCCAAATGCATTTACAAACTAAGCTAATAAAATGGGTGAAGATAAGCCTATTTCTCTCCCCTTACCTTCTTCCAGACGTTTTTGGAATATTTCAGGGTTTCACTGTCCTGTGAAGTCTCCTGAAAATAAAAACAGAAAAGTTGAGCTAACACTTATAAAATGCATCTATTACCAGGGTAGTGCTTCCAACACAGGTTAGTATATCAATCTTCTGGTTGTGTCAACCTTTAAATTTTACTTTGGGGCAGTCGATGATTTTTTAGACTTTTGATATTGTCTCCTACTTTGGCAATCATGAACAAAAATTTGGTGAGAAAACAAACTCATGTCATGTGTGTCATTGTGCTATAGAGAGTTATGTTTACCTGATAATGCCATCTCATAAAGCATGACAGCAGACTGACTGATACCACTTGTAGCCCTACCCCAAAGTAAGAGGACACAGCTTTCACACATGTATTTATTTTTCCAGATTTGTATCACCATGCCTCTGGGAAAATGCACAGAGAGAAAGTTCAGGCATTCCACTTCCAATACAACTTTCTCAGCTACGTTCCAGAAAATGGTATGATAAAACAGGCCTGTCATCAGGAAAGGGCTTCACTGGTGAGTTTACATCAAAACCATCCATTTTCACTTGGTTTCACATGGTGTTTTTTGCTGATTTTAGTAATACATATTAGCACAACATTTTTACAACTAACTCTGAGAAAGAGCCTATCCACAAAACTACAAGAAGGAAAGTATGACAGTAACTATGACATGTTTTACATCTGTATCTTTTGCAAAGAAATAAAACCAGCAATAAACTTTTGAATTTTACTATTAATATTTAACTCAATAATTATTCCTAAAACATATCAAGAGATATATGTTAAATATAATGTAGAAAATTTAACATGTATATTTTCAAGGCATCTCTTTGGCTTGACCAACTTATAACTACATACTGTACAGAGTGCATATAATACAAAGTACTATATAGAACAAAGCAGTTTTTGTTTTCTGTAGTAACCAATCATCTCCCTTTACCAGGAAACTAAAATCAATTGCTTTTCCATTATGATGCAATTTTAAAGATAATACTTCATGGACCAGATGTTTAGAAAATAAGGCTTTATCTTCTCAATCAAAATAAAAACTAAATTTAAGGCCTTACTATATTTATAATGTCTCAAAAAACACAGAACCATAAAAATTCAGGCCTGGAGGAGATATTTGAAATTCATGGTCCAATACTACTGATTTAAAAAAATAAGAAATCTGTGAGCTCGAGAAGTTAGTTGACATTCTCAATCTCAAGGTCACAGTAGTTAGTGTCAGACAGGGAATTTAACATCCCAGCCAGGCCACATGTCTTTCTCTTCACAGATCTGGCATCTGACTCTATTTCAAAAGCATCCTTACAGATGTACACACCTGGATCTGATTCTGTCATTCACTGAAAAGAAAAAAAATTGTTCTTGGACACTTCCATGGTCCCAGGTCTAACGTCCTCTGAGAAAATGCAGTGTCTCCCAGTCCAGGTGGGCTCAGTATGCTCTGAAGCAAATTTGAGGTCATTTCTTAGTCATTTAGCATTTAGATTGACTCGCTCTGATGAAATGTTGAAATAGGGACATGCATCTTCCTGAGTGTACAAGGATGCGGTAAAGCTGAGGCAAGCTGCTAAGCATCTGTAGTTCCAGGTTGTCTACAGGGACATTTTTAGGATCTGGTTATATAAATTCATTTAATAAGATAATTGGTTAATAATAATAAACTGATACGTTTAAATAAAGAGAAATTCATCAAAGAGCTCCTTTGAAACATTCTGTTTTTATCTTTATCTCCTGAAAGAATGTCTAGGCATTAGTAAGCTTACTAAATGAACCATTAGTTGATGCGTATTCATGAAGAAACAAACCTACACTTAAAAGATCATAGGTCCATTAGATAACTTATTGAATCCAGTGTGATCTGAAGCAAAGTTGACAGGTATCTGGGTTCTACTATTTGTTTTCTGTCTTTTAGCTGGATTTAAATGAGAAAGCCCAGATCCAGGCACAGGTCAGCCAGAAGAGAAAACTGCCTGGAATGTTATCTTCAAGAATTAACTAAAACAAAACACCATAAATAACCTGAACACAACTCAGAACCAACGAAAAGGAATGGAACAACTCCCAGAATGTGAAATGGACAGGTGTCTAGAGATCTTGTCTTGTGGAAAATGAACACATATTATGTTTCAGTGTCCTACAGATACACAAATGTTTAGAAATAATAAACATATTGCATGTTCTAGATCCTGCACTTTTTCTTTCCTGCCACTGAACTACACTCTACATTGGCTAAGTTGTCATTTATATAAGTCATTAAACTTCTGCTCTGCATCCAGACATGGCATAGTTACAATAACCAAGAAGCAAAGCTACCAAACAAATCTGCAGGCATGGGTCCATGGATCCTTTTGAGGGGCTAATCAACTCATTTCAGAAAATGTTACATTAACATGTAAATATCAAATATAAAGTAATAAATATTACATGTAAAATATAGAGGAAAATTGTATTGAAATATGTACAACAATATTTTAATTAGTTACTTATTACTGTGTTTATTTGTGTATGCACGATGTATATATGCATGTATCTGTACACATGCACACATGTCCATAAGCATGAATGCCACAGCAAGCATGTACTGATGAGAGGACAATCCTGTAGAGTTTCTCTCCTTCAACCTTTATGCAGGTCCCAGGTACCAAACTCAGACCATTAGGCTTGCACAACAAGCTCCTTTTAATACCAAGTCATTTCACCTACCCATCAATATATTTTATTTGCATATCAATATAGTAAAGAGAAACTATCATTTCCTAATATTGATAGCTAAATCATATTGGAATATATATGCAATAACTGAGCCATTATAAAAAAAAAACTTGTAATTTTTATGAATGATAAGTTAGGGAAAATACTAGACTTCTGTGATGGATATATGCATTTATCACTAAATAAAATACTCAGTTTCTTTTAAAAGCAAGAGAAACAACATACAAATGTGTTCCAATCCATGTTGGTGATGACCTTAATTCTTTCAATATACACCCTAAAGAAGTGTGGTTCTAGGATGAGAACCCCATGTTTAGAAGTCTCCTGATTTGAATTCTAATTATGCCATGGGAGATTGTCACCTTGGATGAGCAACTTAACTGCTATGAGTTTTGATAAATGGAAGCAGAGATGTGTGTTATGTGAACTGGTGGGAGGGATAATACATGTAGAATAACCAGTTAGCACACTGTCTACATACATTAAGTTCTCACTGTATTATGCTTTCACATACTGTAGGAATACTTTTTTCTCCTAGACATTTTAGACTTTTAGCATAATTTAACTTTCAAGCAAGCATGTGATTCTCCTTTCCTGTTGATGAACATTAGGTTATTCTATATTTTAGCAAATTAATGCACAAAAAAAACAAAACAAAAGTGCTAAAAAGATGAAGGTTCAATGAAGTCCTGTAAAAGCAATAATATGTACGTTATGACACTAAAACTAAGAATTTGCAAAGATACTACAGCAGTAAAATGGTTTGATACACCCAACTGTATATCATTGGGAAGGAAATGTACACTGAATTTGATGCTCTTAATTCATTCACTCAATGAAATAAACATGTCACCTCCAACATTAGCTACCTAATGTAATGTGCCATTCATATCATCGATGGTACTTGTACTTAATTGATCCAGAATTGATCTGAAAACTAAACAAGAGAATATCTATGAGTATAAAATTTGATTTCAACACAACAAAGGTGAGATCATCTGTATATTTTTCTAAAGCAGTCCAGGGCTCTAAAAACTCCATCCTATCACTTGAGTAGTTCATCCTCAATTCCAATCCATTGTGTTAATGAAATGTTTTCTTAGTCCCATCCTCTACACACATACACATACACTTTCACAGAAGATAAATTCAAAATCAGGTTTCACATTTGTTGGAAGAAGGGTCAGAGACTAGGAAATCTTTACCCATTTAAAATCTATCAAAACTTTTTTTAAGGAGCTTGGTAATTTCCATTATGGTTTCAATTAAAGCTTTTGTCAAGAGCACAAAGAGAAAGAAAGAGATGAATAGGAAGAGGGAAAAGGAAAGAGAAGAAAAATCATACAACACATGTCAAGAGACAGTAGGAAAGATGGAATAGACTCCTTTGCCAAGTAAAAAATTCTTTTATACTAAAAGAACTGGAAAAGAGATGGACAGCAAAGACAAGATTCAAGTATTCATCAAGTATGTGTTTGAGCTAAATCACATTTGAGCACTTGATATTTAATCTAATGTCTAGAAAATTTTATGATTTTTTTAAAAAGTGTTTGGTCTCATAATTGAGAGCAAAGGAGAGTCAAATAGAAAAATTTAGAAGGAAATAGAAAACAAAGAAAGAAGGGAGGAAAGATGGAAGAAATGCTACATACTTAATATTTTGCATATGGAACTATAAGTTCCCAAAAGAAAGAAAATTAAAGAGGGATGGAAAGGTTTAGGGAATCTGTCTTCTTAAATGGCAGATATAAACGTAAACCTAGATTTTCATTTGAAAGATGCCTCTCTAGGTTCAAAAATACCCTAAGCTTTAGCTACAAGGGCACTGGTATCAAGAAAGGGATTATGGGGACAGAATGAATTTTGATCCAGTGATGCTACAGATATCATATTAGAGGTCAAAAACACTGTATCCCAGAGACCAGCCCTCCTCAGCCTCTGTCCACTGGTTCTGAACAAAAAGTTTACAAGTTCCCTCCAGCCCGCTAGCAATTCACACTACTCTAGCAGTTTGGCCAATAAATGACTTTATTTTGCTCAAGCAACTGCTCCTGCTGGGATTAGAGACTCAGATCCTTTGGCTCAAGGGCAAACAGTCAAATAGTGATGCCCAGCTCCAGAAACCTGTGTTTAATTAAGCCTGTTAGCTCCCTGTATACCCATAAGCTGCTACCTGGGAAAAGTTGTGTACTCACTGAATGTCTGGCCTTGAACTATAAATGAACCATAGTGTTATAATTAAGTAATAGATAATGGAGGTAAAAAAAAAATATAATTTTCCATGCCTTGTGTATTCTTTAAGCATTGTAACTAAATGTAGGAAGTGATTGCTTTTATCTGTCTTTCATGAGTAATCCAAATTTAATGTGTCCTTATCCTCTGAAATAATCATTCTTTTTGTAATGTAAAACCCCACCTCCAACAGTATTCATTAAAGAAATTTTCTTTGGAAAATGGGGCTTTAACATTTTGAAATTTTGCATTCATTTTCCCGAAGAATTGAAGTCCCTTTGAGAAAGATCAACACTCGCAAAATTAACATTATAAATTATATGAAAAAGACAAGCTTTGACTCCCAACCAAGTAACATAGAAACCCCCATTTCCTTATAAACTTCCATCATTTATTTTCTTTTCTTTAGTTTTATTGCTCTAAAGCTCACTTTAATGCATTTGTATTAAGACCAAGAAAATTAATATTAAACTACTGGAAATGAAAAATCAAGGCACCTCTAAAGAATTTTTGAAAGTTGTCTCTGAACCTACTTCTGTTTATTATGCACCTTAGCAAGAGCCATGCTTTCTTTCCAGTCATTTATAGTGGATTCCAAGCTTGATATATGCCCAAAGAGGATGATAACATGCTCAGTTTAATGTAATTTCTTCAATTTCCCCAGTTTCTACAATATTTTGAAACATTTACTGTTAAAGTAGTAAAATACTCAACACAGAAGGCAGTGTTGGGCACTACTCTTCATTCTCCTGCTCAGAAGGCATTCACAGACTAGCTTCAAGAAAAGACTGTATTGTCAGCTTGTCATGACATCTCTCTGTCCCCTTTAAAAGACTGAAACATCTGGTCTCAATGGACATTCATTGAAGGAGGTTATAGAGTGACCCCAGTCATGCTGTTCCCCTTTAAGCATCTGAGATCACCATCCTAGTTCACATCTAAACCTGAAAGTAGAGAAGAATATGAAATGCACACAGAAGGTTCTACAGATACAAAAACAAACTCCCTTGGGAAGTCTAAGAGTCTATATCAAATTCTAGAAAAATGGGACTTTAAAGAAGAACCCAGTTAACTGATCTGCCTAAAAGCAAGAGACAAACATCATGGTTGCTACTTGGAACTTCAAATAATATAATTAACACTTTCTCGAACCAAAAATGAAAAAAAAAACATGCAGAGTTTGCAGCTCTGTGTACCTCAGTTATTAACATAGGAGACTTAGTTTAGGAGTCTGATGAGAGAGGAGATAACCAGAGGGAAGGAAAGTATTCCCATCCTGTGCCTGGAGGAGCTGAAAGAGCTAAAAAAGTAAGAAAAGAAAAGAAAAGAAAAGAAAAGAAAAGAAAAGAAAAGAAAAGAAAAGAAAAGAAGAGAAAAGAAAGAAAAGTAAGAAAAGGCTAAAAAAGTAAGAAAAGAAAAGAAAGAAAGAAAGAAAGAAAGAAAGAAAGAAAGAAAGAAAGAAAGAAAGAAAGAAAGAAAGAAAGAAAGAAAGGAAAAACCTTTACCATGTCTCTAGTACAGGTGTACCCTCCACCATCAAAGTAAGGAACATTTGAGAGACAGCATGTATTTCTCAAGTTTTCTCAACAATATCACAATGGCCTACTTCAAGAGTGCAGGAACTTGAGTCCTGACCAGTACCAGAGCTTCCACAGTGCAAAATACTTAGCTGTTGGGCAGCATTGAGCCCTACACAGACTTTAGGCCTTGGAGGTCATAAGTAGCATTTATACAGGCCATAACTACAATGAGATACAGATACCTCAAATTCAGTTTTCTTCTGAGTGTACTCACAGAGCCTGGGAAGACCATGGCAAGAGTGAGATTTTAGTGTTCCAAGGATATTGCCATGAGAGAGAGATAGTAGCCCCAATGAGACCAGCTTACCTGGATCAATTTCCACTTTGATAGTGTCAGTCCCAGAGAGGATTAGCTCTGCAACAATCTCTTCTGTTACTACATTCCCTTTCTGAGACACAGTTGTCAAAATGGAGCATTCTTAGGGTCAGAGATAAAAAGGACCCTTTGTGCTCTCAAATATAACATGTCTAGAAACTATGACTTTCTAATATTATTACAAAGAAAGGGGACCAAAAAACCTTCTACTGGGCACTATATTTACTTCAAAGAATACTGCTTCCTTCCTACTCACTGCCCCACCATCCCCCTCCACACACACATTAGCTTA